TGCTAGGCAAGCGCACTACCACTTGAGCCATATCCCCAGCCCCTTAACCATTTTTAAGTGTACAGTTCAGCAATGTTAAGTATATTCCTATTGTTGTATAACCAATCTCCAGAACTTTTTGGTTGGTAAATTAGAAAAAAAAAAAGAATTTCTCTATTCCCACTATGCAATACCCTATTTCCCCCTTCTCTCAGCCCCTGGTGACCACCGATTTACTGTCTGTCTCTGTGAACTGACCACTCTAAAGACCTCATAAAAGTGGAAGCATCAGTATTCTTCTTTGTGACTAGCTTATTTTATTTCCTCTAATGGTCCCAGGGTTCATCCATGTTGCACCATATGTCAGAATTTCTTTCCTTTTTGAGGCTAAATAATATCCCATTGTATAATATGTGCCACATTTGTTTATCCATTCACCTGTCAGTTGACATGTTCACCTTTTGGCTTTGTGAATTAAGTTGCTTTGGACATGGTGTGCAAGACCCTGCTTTCACTTGTTTTGGGTATAACCCAGAAGTGGATTGCTGAATCATAAGGTGATTCTATTTTTAATTTTTTGAGAAACTGCCATATTGTTTTCCATAATGGCTATTCCATTTTGTGTTTCCAACAGTGTACAGGGATCTAATTTCTCCGCATCCTCTGTCATTTTCTGTTTGTATTTGTTTATTTATTTATTTATTTATTGTTTTTGCGGTAGCCATTCCAATAGTTGGGGGTAACATTCATCATAGTTTTGATTTGCATTTCCCTAATCATTAGTGATATTGGGCATCTTTTCATATGCTTGTTGTCCATTTGTATATCTTCTTTGGAGAAATGTCTGCTCAAGTCCTTTGCCCATTTTTAGTTAAGTTGTGTTTTTATTATTGTTGAGTTGCTTATAAATCTTTAAAGGTTATTTTCAAACATACACACACAAAAAATAGAGTACATTTTGCTGGTCTTTTTTTACTTCCCTGCCCCACACATCTCAAAGTTTTTTGCCTCACATTTTAAAGTAAATCCTAGGGCTGGGAATGTAGCTAATTGTAGAGTACTTTTCTAGCACACAGGGCATCCTGGGTTTGATCCCTAGGACCTAAAAAAAGAAGCAACAATAACAACAACAACAAAAAAAAAAACCCCTAAAGTAAATCCCAGACATCAGGTCTTCTACTTGTAAAAATTTCAGAATGTTTTTCTAACAGAAGACTTTTATTTTGTATTTATTTGTTTATTGCAGTGCTGGGAGTGGAAAGCAGGGATGTTAAATGAGTATGTCCCACTGACCTATATCACCAGCCCCTTTTAAAATTAAAAAAAATATATTGGGGGGTGGCAGTACCAGGATTGAACTCAGGGGCACTTGACCACTGAGCCACATATCTAGCCCTTTTTTGTATTTTATTTAGAGACAGGGTCTTACTGAGTTGCTTAGCACTTTACTTTTGCTGAGGCTGGCTTTGAACTTGCAATCTTCCTATCTCAGCCTCCCAAGCCATTGGGGTTATAGGCATTTGCTACCAAGCCTGGCTAAAATTTTTAAATTTTGAGACAGGGTCTTACTGAGTTGCTGAGACTGGGCTTGTATTGTGATTCTCCTGCCTCAGCCTCCTCAAAAGCTATGATCTCAGAGTAACTGGGGTCACAGGTGTGTACCACCAAGTCTGGCCAGAATCCTGTTTTAGAAGGATACATTATCACACCTAGCAAATTTAATTTCTTACAATTACCAAATACCCAATTTCTGTCTTATTTTCTCCAGGTGTCTTGAAATGGCTTTTTACTGAATTTTTTTTTTTTTTTTTTGTGAACAAGGTCCACATCCTGCATTCGGGTGGTGTTTCTTAAATCTCTCAGCCTGTAACCCCCACTCACATGCCATATGGTTGTGGAAGAATCATTTTCACTTGACAGCAGGATCTCTCTTACTCTAGATGTTTGCTTTTATAGACCACTCCTTTAGGTTCAAGTGAAGTAACCTGAGTGTAGGGAGTGGAGGTGGGCAGGGAAACCGGGAAGAAGGCTGTTGCCACAACCCAGCCAGGAGAACTGGGAGATTCCGTGAAGGAGAGAGAGGGAGTTTCTGGATGTGGAGCCCACATATGGGAAGCGAGTGAGGTAGAGAAAGCGTGGATGGAAGACAGAGACTTCCAGGGATCTCAGGTATAGTAGGTACCTCAGAGAGGGGTGGGTGGGG